TGTGGGGTGGCACACATGGTCTGTTTCAAGAAACAAAATGCTATATTACCCTTATTCTCATCAAATTCTGACTTAGACCAAACAACACCAGATTAGGCAGCTAAACCTGAAAAATTAAATCTGCCTAAAAAATTACATTTCTTCACAGTAAAAGATAATATTTAATAAATAGAGAAATAGTTTCAACATATTTGACAAGAGACAAAACTACTATGAAAAACAAAGCTTTACATAATACCTCTTCATGCAGAGAGATTTAAAGAGAAAAGGAGGGCAACTTTTTATAATTTCAAAAGAAGCAATTCAGAAGCAAAAATGTATATATTCCTTCGTACAATGGACTGATATTTTGCAATTGCATTTACAGGTTACAAGTGATTTCCAACTGAAGATATTAAAATGTATAAGTGCAATGTTCAGAAACACCATAACAGAGGGAACAAACACCCACACACATGCAAACTAACACTCAGTACCCATATCCAATACAACCAACACATTTGCTTTAAATTTTGTAACAATATAGTATTCCAATTTTGATCACTAACTTCTTGATAGTGAAATTGATAAATATTCAATCCAATTCGACCCTACTAAATACAGATCAGACAGATGCATAGAGGAAGCAGATGTCTTCTAAAGCACAGACTCTAATTTTTTCATTTTCTTTCTAGTAATATTAATTTCTTTTATGTTTTTAGTTCCCAAAGTAAAGACCTCTAACATTAAAATTTGGCAATTTGTGCCAGCTGATTATCATGACATTTCATATATGATTATCTGAATTTTCTCTTTCTTAATTCCACGAGAAATTTAACCACAACAGACCTTCACAAATTGTCTGAATTGAAATATAGATTAAACAAAGCTAGAAAAAGCCAACTCTTTGCAAAAAGCAGCAACAAAATGTATTTGCAATAGTCCATTAAAATAAATGCTCAGCAATCAAAATAAGTTTTGTACAAAAACTAATGAAAATATAAAGAAGAATCCTTGAAATATCGCTTTAAATTGTTATTTCAGAAGTAAATAATTCATTTTTAAAAAATATCCCTATTCCTAAGTTGTTTTGAACTTTTTAAACAGAAAATTTTAGAATACAATGAAGCATTTATTTTTCTACAATAGTAATATGATGATACTGAATACAAACACTTTTTGTTCAAAAATTAGTTAAATGATTATTCCTGACATTACACAAAATCAGTCACATTCTAATTATTTGTAAAATCTTTATTTCTCTTAACCACATAATGTTAATATTATGATCTTATTCAACAAAAATTGTAGAAGTACTTAGGCAAGTTTTCACTGGCTTCAATATTTATCACTTACTGTAACGAAATACTAATTTGTGTTACATAAAGAAGAGAATGCAACAAAAACACAAAATGTAATCAAATAATATTAATTAATTTGTGACCATCACTCGTTTTCTTTTAAATCTTGTTCAAGAAACCAATTTCAAGAGTTCCCAGCTACTTAAATTTCTGCAAATACCCGAGTATTGGGATGTCATACTTTTCAGGAAATACTAACATTTTTCAAGTTGGTGGAAGACAACTGTTCATGAAATTTCGAAATTAAATTAACTTTTCTTTAGTGTACTCCATGTTGATGCTACCAGACAGTATTCAGTGATTGTAAAGTACAAGTTAAATTAAATAATGGGATTTGAGAGTTCCTACACAAACTAATTCCAATTTTTTCTCCTCCAGCAAGCGAGACATTTTCCAAAGACCTCTCTATACTACATTATAGTGAACATATAATCAAAGAAATTTCAGCCCAGAGATACACAGGATAATGATTTGCTTTCTTACCTAACCATTTTACATATGAGTTTAGAAGCGAGACAACCCCACGCATATCCCACACATACGGGTAGGATCATACAACAATTCTCGATTGGCACAGAATGTATGGCGTTGGAAAAGGGTATTCAGGGCTTTTGACATATCTTCCAGTTTCACGGCACGTTCTAACCATTCATCAACCTCAGGTTTGTTTGAAGGGTTTTGTGACGAGATATTACGGTTATGGGCAGTGACTAGATGAGCATTACTCTTTAAATAATTGAATTCTTGCAGTAATTGTATACCTTTTCTACCATGTTCAAATGGCAAATAGAATAAGTCGCATAAAAGAGCAAGATCTTCATAAGCCAATTCTTTATCATTCCTGGCAGGAAACTTTTTGCTGCTTTGCTGTGTGCTTTGCGGTGAAAGGGAAGACTGGATCCACATCCTCTTAATTTGCTGTGCAACCGAATCATGGAGAAGAAAATGGATGGGAACGGGAAATTACTACTTCCTAAACAGGAACGTAACGCTCGCCCAAAACATTTTAGGTGATAAAAGGTCTAAATTTATGAAAGAATTAGGAACATTTTTAGGAAAGGTTCGAACCATTAGGGAAACTGCAATTAGGGAGTGGGAAAACAGCACCGGTTAGCTTGAGCGGAGCCTAGACTGGAGAGAAATAAATAAGTCAATAAGCTAACAATAAGTAAGTTCATCAGTAATTTTATGTTAAGTTAGTAAACAGTTAAAAAATAAGCCATAAGTCGTAGTCAATTGGTAAGTAACAGGTCAATATAATAAATAAAATAAAAGTGGCATAGTAATAAGCACATTAGGGGGGAAGGTAAGGGGGGATCGAAAATATAAGGGCAGAGGCGTTGGTGCGGACGATCTTCTGTGGCGCTGATTGATTTCAGGTGCTGAGGAGGCCAAGCACTGGAAGGAGACGGCGGGACGTCCGCGCCAGAAAATAAATAGTTAAAATAAACGCCGGATAGATTAGTATGTACTCGGCTTCTGACGGCATGTTTTTCCCCCTTCAGAGGTTTTTTCCTGAGCCGTACCTTATGGTCTCTTTTCCGCAGCTTTGATGCGGTGGAGAGACCATTTGGGGTGAATACCAGAAATAGAACGCGAAAGGATGAAGGTATTGTAATGGCTTAAAGGCCTTCGGCCTAGCCACATAGGATCAAGTAAGCTAACTTGTTTGTAATAATTACCTATTAAATAAAAAAAATTATAAAAAGATTTTATATTGTCTTGCAAGTAATTTCTTGTGAGGAAACAGGTCAATAGTGAAGCATTCAATCTCTATGCTCTGGACACAGCAAGATTATTTGTAAAGAATTATGCTTTGTTTTAACTTCCGGCTAGTGTTCATAAACTTCTACTTCACGATTCACAAGTTATAAAATTAGCTTTCCTTCCAATTGGTCTTCTTTCAGAAGAGTCAGAGAAGGCGCGCCACAAGAACATACGGGATTTCAAAGGACATCACCCAAGAAAAAATTCTCGTGTGAACACAATGAGTGATCTGTTCCATCGTCTCTTAGTTACATCTGATCCACTTATTACAAGTCTGAGGAAACCTTCAAAAAACCTGCAAAAAACCAGTAGAACTTCAGCCGGAAGCTCAAGATTTATTGCAGTCGACCATGGATTTACTAGATGATGATGGCGGTGATGATGAAAACCAAGAATAAAATATCTGTAAATTCAGTGAAATTAATAGAATTTCATGTAATAATTATTTTTACATCAATTAATAAATATTATGTTCTGAAATTTTAACGTGTGATTCCATGTCAGAAATTCTTGTAGCTTTTTTTGGGATTATGGGAGAAAATCTATGGTCAACAATTCATTTTGTGGTCCAAAGAGCACTGCGAAGTAAGTATTAAACATTATATTATTAAAATGAATAGTTGGACTTTTTCGTCTAGAAATATTTTTGCCCCATTTTGACCACCTCCTCTCCCAGTGTGTAGCGCCTAAGTTCAACTTTTTAGTGCGTCCTAGCATTTGATTGCAGTACAGCGCTTATGGAGAACAGCGTTGCCACTTATCGGCCAGCGCTTACACGCAACACTCGACGTGCTGGATACTCGGATTGTCATGAAATGTCAGCTTATTCAGCACGTAGAATTAAACACGTGGATTTCATTTATAATTAAAACCATCAAAACTCAACTACATAATAACCCTCACATTCATACGAGATCTGGGAATACTTGGTAAAAAACTCAAATGTCTAAGATCAATAAAACTGAAACTATTGTTGAGTAAACATGTTAAATATGTGTGCGTGAAACAGGATGGGCGAGCCGAATAACACCGAGCCTCGTGAATTGACAACCACTCACAGCTTTTTAGCTAGCACAGAAAAAGATAGGCTTACGTAAAATTGTATTGGATAGAAAGAGAGGGCAACACTCCATAAGGCTTCGTACTGCAATCAAACGTTTGGATGCACAATTGCTATCTCGCTATTGTCGAACCACCCTCCCCACCGCCGTGACTCGAAAACCTAGGCCTTCCTGGTCGGAGGCACTGCAGTGACATTACTGTATGGCCTGAGACATCTTGGCAGGTGCATTGTGTCCGGATCAAGTGTGTTCTCCTCCCGCGCAATGTTTCTGGCTATGAGTTCGAGTTTCTGGCAGTGGTTCCAATTGTTGTATTTGTTCCCCATTGAGACAATTTCCATTGATACAAAAACATTCACACAAAACAAAAACGAACTAGGTTTCAAAAATCCAGAAATTTGCAACAATAACTATAGTTTTGACTTGTTGCACACTAGTTTATTTCACTATGTCTTTCCTGGCATCATGAAATAAAATTCATAGAGTTAATTCTGTTTTGGGCCTTCGGACTGTACGGACGTGTTCTCCGGTAGCTTCGGTGAAAGGCGGTGATGGGGTGTTCGTAAGAATGTTTGCGGGCGCGCGTGGAATCTTTTGCTGCGCTCTTTACCTGGTGCGCCGCTGTATACAGTGATTCCTGGCGGCTAACAGCAGTGTTGAGTTGTGCGGTTCTTGCTGTGCCCCTGGTAATCGGCGGGGTGGAACTAAATCCAGTCCCTAATAGCGACGCAGCTTTGCATCTGCAGGCAATAACGTGTGCTGAATGTGAAAGAGACTTGCGTTCACGAGCTCAGTGCCATAGTTACCGGTGTTTACCAGGTGTGACCGCTGGTATCACTAGAGCTGTGGTAACGTGAAGGGCCGGTTTAGAGGCAGTAAAGATTGGTGATGCGGCGCCTGCCGTGTTAATCGGGATCACAAGGCCGATGAGTGAATATGGGAGCTGGAGCAATAATTGACGACCACGAGGGCGTTATTTAGAAGACAGCATGAAAAGGAACAAGGAGCTGGAGAAACAGATACATGTGAGTACTAGCAGTTTTTCTAGTGTGTACTAGCAGTTTTACGGTGAGTACTAGCAATGTAAACTATATTATAGTTTTTAGTCGATCATTATTCCACATGAGCAGGTGTTGGTAGTTCTGTAGAGGAAGTGTGGAATCATTTTGAGAAAATCATTAATAAGTGTATGGATCTCTATATACCGTTTAATAACAAGACATAATCATAACTAGAAATCCCGATCCATAATATTGTAATAAACGGGGCACGAAAGTTCAAAAGCAAAACAAGGCGGGCATTATGGAAAAGAAAAATCAGTGATAAACATTATGAGAACTTTAAAAACTATCGAGAGAACTATTGCAAGCGAAAGTATTAGCACACGAAGGGTATTTGGAAACGATCCTTACTGATGAAAATTAAAATTGGTGCACTTTTTTTAAATACGTACGAAGGAGCAAGGGAAATTGCGAAGAAATCCCGTCGTTGAGAATCAGTAGTAATAACTTGCTGATAGAGAAGGATTTTCCGTAATTAACAAAGAAGATCCTAGTGTTTAATATTGTTCATTATATGTTTACATTAATGAATTGTAAATTTTTCTTTTATTACTTTTCCACTTTATCTTCTAAGTCCACATTTGCTGCCGAGGATGAGGCCAGTTGGCTCGGATATCTTTCAGACTTACCTTCGAACTGGATAATTTTGCTATTTCGGGGAAAGTATATTCTGAACCCCATTAAACCAAGCCCATGTGCCGAAAGAGAAAATATTTAATTTAAAAAATATAATACTAATTAAAAGTTACTAAAGGAAACACTAATGAATTCTCTTTTTGTTCCAGGAAACTTCCACATACACAAGGAAACAACAAAATTTATACATTTACCCGCAATTAAATTAAATAATTATCCTACCCTTTTAATTTCTTTCTTTAAATTTGTTTATTGTTAATGTTTGTGTATTAAATTTTGTTATATTATATTATCATTTTTTGTTTTTTACTGTATATAATTGTTAGTTGTGTATTGATTGTGTATATATATTATTTAATTTGGATATGTTTTTGATAATTTTCTTTTCTTTGATTAACTATTTTTATAATCCTTTAAGTAGGATAGATTCTAATTTGTAATATTGTTTATAAATTGTGCTTTTCTACCCATATCTTCAGATTTTGGTTCATTGCAAGCCCTTTCTGAAACTTGCATCCAAGCAAAGTAATTTCTCATTCAGTGCAACGTTCTGATCATTAATTATGTGAAAATAAAAATTAAGTTATATTTTATTTTATTATTAAATTGTGTCCCCAGTTTCTAATGGAGTTAAACAATTTCCGCACCTTTGGATCAAATGCTACATAAAATCTAGTGAAATTAATTGTATTAACCTTACAGGACATTTTTAATACCCATCCCCATTTATTCTTTCTAACCCATCAGGATGTTTCTATCCGAATTTAGTATTTAAAATATTTATTTGAAAAATAAATGCTTGTAAAGACTGACAACTCTCAAGAAAAATTATAAAGCTTTCAGTTGTAGATCAGACATGCATTGAGAAAGCATAAATTAGTGAAATATAAAACAATCATTAAAACACATTGAGTTATGAGTCATAGTACCATTTTGAATAGTCGAATGTTTTAATTTATAAAATAAGCCACCTGCACACCACAAAGATGTTTAGCAATTTGCTGTGAAACTCCAGAAAGTATTTGAACATCCCCTTGAAAATCAAATGCTTTCTATTTAATTCGTGGGTAGTTTTCTTTACTTGAATGTGATATTACTTAAACATTTTCCCATTTATGTAAATAAATTCTATATTCCCGACTCGCGTGTTGCATATAACTAAGAAACTCAGACATCTCGTCAGTGATGTTCTACGCGTGACCGTAAACAAACCCCTACGAAGGGGCGTAACTAAACAGCTGACGCGGCGGAGATACTTCTTCGAATAACGTGATGTTCACTTGTGTTCCGATCTGTCACTTTATCCCATCGTTAGAAAT